TGAGGCCAAGAAAGACAAACAGGCTGGAGTGAATTCTCACTCACAGACAGAGTGGGCAACAAGAAATGAAGGGGCTCACGGGAAGGGTAAAAGCACCCCAGGTCCACCAGGTCCTTAGCTCCTGTTGATTCTAGACTTGCCAAATCTCTAGAATCTTTAGAAACCTTCTGCTTGTCTCCATTGTTATGATGAATGGATGTATAGGAAGAAATTAGATGCTAAACACTTGTAGGCATTCTAAATGTAACTTGGATCATACCAGGAGAAGGAGGAAGAAAACATCTTCCCCAAAGTAAAGGAAGCAGATCAGCCAAGGGCTTGGTCTTTTTGTGCTCTGCTCTTCTCACTCCACATCTGGCCCTGTACTAACTGTGGAAGATGCAGGAATGAGCCATGGATATTCATTTCAACACTGATTGAGACTCTTAATGTGTACCAGCCACTGTGTGAGATGCTGAAGACACCATCTTCACCATCCTCCAGTTCCTAGGCTGTTGAGATAGACAGAGATATCATCAAATATGTACAGGACTCAATGGTAAATAATACGATTGGGGGAATCTGGAGTTCTGTGGGAACAGAGAGAAGGGACTAACCCAGCCCAGGGGATCAGAGGAGGTATCCAGAATGAGGTGACAGGGACCTCCCTGCAAGTGAAGAGCATAGACGTAGGACAGGTAGCACCCTGTTCACAGCCTGTCAACTACAGGAATCCCAGGAGTAAGGGAAGGATGAGGTCAAAAGTGTCTGAGATGAACTCACCAGACCTTATATTGTACAGGACCAGTCTTCATTCAATCCCATTTGGCACACCAAGGTCAGTCCCATTCCCACCCCAACAACATTTTAAAATGGAGAATAGCTCTGACAGATTGTCATTAGGGACTACAAAAAACAACTTCTTATTTAGGATTCACTCATCTCAGTTTGTTTTTGCGGTAACTCAACAGGTTATGACATCACATGAGCAGCTCTTCATTCTCAGTGAACACAAGGTAGAATTCAAAATGCCAATTAATGAGCCTGGAAAAGGGGACTGGCCATGCTGTTCTCTGTGGCAAAGACTCCAGGGTTTCCCATGACTTAGAGAATTGCTAAAGAATGAGGCTTTCCAGCCCAGAGTTCTAAACAGGAGAATGTAAGATGGACTCATTGCAGAAAAACCACACGTTAACCTCTGAATTTATTATCCTGGGCTTTGGCAACCTGGCTGAATTACAAATCTTCTTTTTTGGGCTCTTCCTAATCATGCATGTTGTCACTATAGCAGGGCACACAACTATTGTGTTTATTACCTTCACAGACTCCTGTCTCCAGACGCCCATGTATTTCTTCCTTCGAAACCTGTCCATCATTGAAATTTGTTATATATTGGTTATTGTCCCAAACATGCTGGCCAATATCCTGTCCAGGGGCCAACGGATGCCCTTCCTGGGCTGTGCCCTGCAAATGCACCTCTTCATTGCCCTGGGTGGGGCAGAGTGCTTCCTGCTGGCCGCGATGGCCTATGACCGCTTTGTGGCCATCTGTAAGCCCCTGCGCTACACACTTATCATCACCAAGGCCCTCTGCCTGCAGATGCTAGCTCTGGCATGCGTCAGTGGCTTCACACTCTCACTCACCCTAACCACGCTGATATTCCTCCTGCCCTTCTGTAACTCCCATGAGATCAATCATTTCTTCTGTGACATCCCTGCTGTGCTATTCCTAGCCTGCTCAGACACACGAGTCAATGAGATTGCAGTCTTCCTTGTCTGCCTGATCATCCTGTTGATTCCCTTCTTGCTGATCTTGATTTCCTATGCATTCATCATCACAGCCATCCTCAGGATGCACTCGGCTGAGGGCAGGAACAAAGCCTTCTCCACCTGTGCGGGGCACCTGCTGGTCTCTCTTCTGCACTATGGCTGCGCGATCTTCATCTACATTCGCCCCAAGTCATGCTATGCCCCGGAACAGGACAAAATTGTGTCCTTAATCTACACCAATGTAACCCCTATGCTCTATCCTATAATCTACAGCCTGAGGAACAAGGAAGTCAAGGGTGCCCTCAGGAGACTCCTGAAGAGTTGCAACTAGCAAGGCAGCAGCCAGCAATGTTAAAGGGGACAGAGTCTCTTAGGATTATCCTGGCCTCTTCTAAAGAACCCGTCCAGTCATCTCCCCAGCACCTTGTGCCCCCACTCCTCTCTCCATGGCTCTGAGAGTACCTGGAAGTCACTGCCCCTTTACTATGGTCAGAAAGATGGACCAAAATGTAAGGTTCCCTGAGATGTGATCCTGGGGTGCTTGTGAATGTTTCTGTCCATTATCTTGAGCACTGTCAGAGAGCTCCCCACCACCACCAAGTCATTTCAAGATCTGCCCCACTTCTGCTTCCAGGCCCACTGACTTCTCCTCATCTTTCATATCTATGTTAATGGACCACTTGCTGCTTAAAGCCAATGCAGACTGCCCCTCCTGAACTCTAGTACTGACTTAGAGGCTCACTGAAGGCAAAAACTGGGATTAATCTCTGTTACCCTAGTGCCTGGCACATAATAAGTGCTCAATAAATAGTAATTGAACTGGACTGTGGACCTTCACAAGCTTTGGTACAGGAATATTTTCAGACTTTAATTGCTAATAGAATAACACACTTTTTTTTTTTTTGGAGAGATTTTCACTGTAGGGCGCGGGGGCCCGCCA